AGTGGATGAAAGACGACATTTAAGAGAAGCGAGCCTCCGTTCTATGGGAAATTAACTTCTGGGAATTTCTGATGAATGAAGAATTACTGTACTTTCTGCCCAAGCCTGCGTCGACAGGCTAAGTGATGAAAAGACTCCTTTTTCCTCCAGTTGTGATCCCCCCCCCACCTAGGCGGGGGTGCGTTTACCTACCAGGTGTGGGGGCAGGGCGGGAGCTGTTATTAACCCTTCCGGAGACCCCCAGAGCTCCCCACGTGAACAGCATGACTCAGTGGCGCCCTTTAAGAGGATAATTTGATTGATGACGTGGACAATTAGACTGGCGAACGTGACATCCATGTCGATTCCAATGTGAGAAAGGAGGCGAGAAAAATCTTTTTTGAAGCTACCATCGATGGGCGGGGAGAAGCAGGCGGCGTGGGGGGGGGAGAGGCTCGACCCCTCGGAAGGCACAGGGCCAGGCCCCGCGCCTGCCCCCGGGACACGTGCGCCCCAGCTCCCTCGCGCGCCCGGAGGCCGCCCAGCCGGTCACGCGCCTCTCCGGGCTGCGCCACGAGGCCCGAGCACCAGGTACGCTCCTCCGCCACGTTCCCCGCTCTCCACTCGGCCGAGCACGAGGCCACTTCACACTGAAGAGGCTTTTCTCTGATTGAACTTGAAACCAAGCCGACGTGTTCGTGTTCTCGAGCCTAAATGTACCCGGGTGCGCCTCTCATTTTCCTCCACCATCCGCCCCCGGGGCCCCCTCCCCTCCGCAGGAGAAGAGAGAATCTCTCTCTCTCTTCAAAGCCGAACTCTCTCTAGCTTGGGGAAAGGATGGGGATGGTGGCTGCTGGGTATCTTTTTGGTGTTTGTTCAAGCCCTCATCACCTCCCCCCACCAAGATGGCTGCACGCACCCCAGGGAGATGCCCTTGGGGTCTTCCCAGGGTCCCCCCGGGCCTGCCTGCGCTCTGGCCACTGTGGCTGAGCCGAGAGCCAGCGCGTGGATTCCGTGCTGCGCACTCACTGCACACCCGGCTCAGAACCTCGAGCCTCAGTGCACTGGTCTGTGAACTGCAGCTTTGCAGTGCCCTCCAGCCCAACTTTGAGGAGGCCCCGATAAGAATTCAAATCCAAGGGGAGAGTCGGGGAGAGGAGGAAAAGGCAGGCCCCCCATTCTCGCCTGTAGCCCACGGAACTCAGGGGCTGTGGCCTGGTGGTGGGGAGGTCCCTGCCCCCACTGTGTCTAAATTTCGGTTCCACGACTCTCATCACAAGAGCCGGAGCCCCGGACCTGGCCCTGCCTCGTGAGATGGCCACTGTCTCCGAAGAGCTCCGTCGCCCACAGGGCTGGGGGAGGGAGGGAGGACGGAGAATGCATGGGGTTTGGGAGAGGGAGAGAGAAGGGAGAACAGAGGCACCCGTGAGTCTTTGCCGGGCCTCAGTTTCCCTGACTGGATAATGTCCCACTCGGCCCAGACCAGTGGGGATGCAGAGACCTCCAGAAACCACAATGCAGTCCTGGCAGAAACAAAGCCTCAGGCTTTGGAGATTCTCGGCTGTAGGGGGGCGCACAGCAGATGTCAAGATGGGGTGGAGGCGAAGTCCCCCCCTGCAGCTGCCTAGCCCCCACTGTGCACGCCCAGGACTAGCTGGTCTCTGAGGCCCCTCCAGCTGGACCCTGCTGCGTTTCCTTGATCAGCAATTCTGCCTTTAATCAAGCGGTCTGGTGCAGGCCGAGGGCAACGTCAGCCTTCGAGAAGGGAGGAGGGGTGAATGGGCGGGGGCCAGTCTGGAGAAAACTTCCACCTCTCACCTCCCTTGCTGCCCCGGGGAGTCAGGCCCGGGGAGCTGGGCTGGCCTCCGGGGAGAAGGAGCAGAAGACTCAGAGACTCCAGGCAGAGGGAAGGAACCTAGCTCGAAGCTCAGGCCTCCAGCCCCACGATCCAGCCCCACGGTGGGCAGCTCTGGTCCCTGATACCTGTGTAGACCCTGGGCCACGCCACCCACGCTCAGCTGACCAGGCAGCCAAGCATTTCCTGGGGGGCTGGGGGCTGCTCACCTCCTTTGGGAGCCCCTCTGTTCTCTGGCGGGGAGGGGTTAAGAGGGAGGGGAGCGGTGCACAGATGAGGAGGGGTCATTCTGGCTCCTCCAGCCCTCAGGTCTGCTTGCACACAGCAGGCGGTGCCTACTTCTCCCCAAGGGACCTGGTTGGCATTTTCATGCTCTCTGTACACAGCCTTGAAGCTTCTGACAGTCACGGACCTCCCCTCTCCCCACGGCTCCTAAGCTACCCTTTCTCACCGTCTTGCCTGCTGAAAAGAAATCTCCAGTCTCCTGAATTTACAAATACTTTACTGAGACCGACAGAAACCTACAGACAGCTCCAGGCTCCCAGGTCTGGAACCGCAGGAAAAGACTCCTCCCAGCTTCCACCCTGCAGGGGGCTCTAAAGAGGGCCAGATCAGAACCAGTTCTAGAAAGAACCAGCCCACTGGGGTGGAGGCCCAGAGGCAGCTGGTGGAGGAAGGCAGGAAGGGGGCCAGGTCTTGAAAGCACAGCGGTTTTCTACTTAGGAAAACCCACGTTCCCTCCCGGGACAGGTGTGCATCCCTGCTTTCAGACAAGGGGACTGGGCCTTGAGGGGCCCTCAGCAGGCAGGGGATGGAGCCGGGATTAGCGAGCAGGGGCCTAGGCGGCCAAAGAAGTGCCCTTTCGGCCTAAGCCCCTGACATTTGGACACAAATGCCCTTGGGTGAGACTGCCCTCCTCAGGCCTCCCTCCCTTTCCAGAAGTGGGGAGGGCGGCGGCCAGAAGGGACTGAGATCGGAAAGGGAGGGGTCTAGATGAAGGTGTACGTGATGGCCTAGTTGGGGCTCCACACAGTCCACACGGCACCCCGTGACTCGGTCTGGGAGGAGGCCCTCAGCCCAGAGATCCCCCGCCCCTCCCCAGTGTCTGGCTCAGAAGCCAGCCCTTCCCAATCTGCCTGCTGTGGAGGATAATTTTGGAGGGTGAGGTCAGGGTCCTTGGAGGGAAGAAAGGAGGGGGGGGGGTCAGGGAAGCTGGGGCCATCTCCACACAGTGGCCAGTTGAACCTCCAGGCCTGGCCCGCCCGCCACTCTCGGCACCCCCGGGGGCCGTGGGCCACAGACCTGCCATCTCTGAACTCGAGTTTCTTCTTTTGAGAAGACTCCCCGGAAGAGATTGGGGTAACGGAAAGGAAGGGGCCCGGGGTGCGTGCCTGGTCAGGGGCTGCTCCCTCCAGCCTGTCGCTCAAGCGATTCCCAACGGCACCCCCGCCCCCACTTCTGGGTCTTCTGCAGAGAACACTGAACACCAAGGAGGAGGCACCTTCCACAAGGGGAATGGGGTGGGGGCTTCCCTTCAGCCCCTGTGGAGTCGGCCCAGGGCCGCGGCGCCCTCCCATGGCTGCTTCCTTTGGGAGAGCAGACTAGGGGCCTCAGTGCCCGCGTGTGCCCTAGGGCGCCCCGGGGCCTGACTTCCCGCACCATCCTGAGGATGGAGATTATGTCCTCAAACCTGCCAAGACCCCAGGAGATGGTCTGCAGGCCAGCCCCCCCCCACCAAAGTGGCGGAGATCACGCACCCCTCCTCCCTGTGGGAAAGGGGAGGCCGGGAACTGCGTGAGACCCACCCCCTGCACCTGGGATCTATATGCAGATTAATCTATGCAGAAGAAGCATAAATAAGTGAGCCATCTAAAGGCCATGACGTCCTGGTACCCTTCCCCAGGAAGGTAAACTCCTTTCCTCTCCTTCTATCACCTGCCCCCCCACCCCCTTCCCTACTTCCCCCTCCAGAGGCCTGATCAGAATCCGGGCCTGTCGGATCTGCCTGGGAGAGTCTCTAAGCCCAGGCTGGGGGCTTTTGCCAGGAGCCCTCGGGAGGGGTCGATGTCTGGCAAGGTCGGCATCCCCACCCCCACAACCCCCATGATGTCCTCTGGAGGCCTCCCGGAGTATGTGCCGGGGGCTCGGTGCGCAGCTGTGTGTGTGCGCGTGAGTGTGAGCTTGTCCACATGTGTCACTGCGGGCGAAGACGGGTGTGATGGGGCTGGCGTGTGCGTTGCGCGACAGTACACGTGTGTGTGGGTGAGTGTGTAACCAAGAGCCCGTGCTCTGTGGGTCTGGGGGACCGGGTGTGTGTGCTTGTGACTCTCAGGCGCGTGGCTGGCTGTCCACACGCGTGTGAGGGTCTGTCTGCGTGCCTAAGGCCCTGTCCGGATGCTGGCGTGCGCGTGGGTGTCTGTGTGTTTACAAGGGAACCGCATGTTGAGGTGTGCACGCGGCTGGGCACGTGCCTCTGTGCCGACGGGCTGGGGCACATGTTGAAAGATGCCCGGGGTTTCATAACCGTGTGTCCGCTGGCCTCTCTGCGTGCCTATGACTGCGCATGTGGTGCTCCCGACGATTTCTATAACCCGGGTTTGCATCGCAGCGTGTGCTGGTGGTGCAGTGCGTGTGTCTGCATTTCCTTGCGTCTTTAGAGCCAGGGGCAGGGGGTAGAAGGCTTTCCATCCGTGTTCCCCCCAGCGCGTGTGTGTTTCGAGCGTGTTCTGCGTCTCCAGAGTGCGCATCTGTGTTTGCCTGGCCGTGTGAACCATGGCCTGCATGCTCGGGACCTTGGCCATAAGTGTTCTGGTGTTTCTCTGCGTGTTTCTGTATTCCGAGCGCGCGCTTGCGTCTTCCTGGGGTCTGCGGCCCGGCCCCGGCTCCGTCCCCGCCGCTTGTCCCAAGCGGGGCCGCATGTGCGCGCCCACGGGCCGTCCCGCGTACAGAACGTGTGCCCCTCGCGCGCGGGGTACCTGTGCCCGTCTAGCCAAGAGCGCTCCGTGCGCGCGAGCGGCTCTCCGGGACGCCGCGGCGGTGGGGGGCGGCCCCGCGAGGGGCGGGGGTCACCGGGACTGGCCGGCGCCGGCCCCGTGCGCGCGGAGGCGGGGGCGGGGGGCGGGGGCCGCGGGGGGGCGGCGGTACGAAAAGGGCGGCGCGCGCGGCGGCGGCGGCAGCTCGGCGGCGGCAGCGGAGAGCGCAGCGCGCAGCCCGGTGCAGCCCTGGCTTTCCCCTCGCCGCGCGCCCGCGCCCCCTTCCGCGTCCGCAACCAGAAGCCCAGCGCGGCGCCCGGAGCTGGACCCGCGCCCGCGCCGCTCCCGGGACCGCGACCTCGGCCGCCCCGCGATGACCGCGACCGCAGCCCTCCTGCCCGTCCTCCTGCTCCTGCTGGCCTTCGGCCACAGTGTCCATGGTGAGCTCCCGCCCCCCGCCCCGGCCCCGCTCCGGCGGCCCGGCTCGCGCCCCCTCTGGGGAAGCCTGCGACGCCCCCCGGCCGCCCGGTGCCCCGCGCGCCCCGTCCCATGCGCCCCAGCTCCGGCCCGTCCCGCCTAACCCTAAGCCCCGCGCGGTGCCGCCTCGCCCTCCCCGCCACCCGCGCATGCCAAGCCTCGCCCTGGGGTCTCGGGGGCGGGGGAGGTGTGGGACCCCCGCCCGCCCGCCCCCAGCCCTTTCCCGCCCCGCAGAAGTGACGCTCGCAGGGGTGTCGGTGCGCAGAGAGGAGGTATGGAGAAACGAGGTGATGTGATGCCCGGGAGCCCTGTGTGCAAATGTTCTGGGGTGCAACTTTGGGGTGTCGCTGCGTGCGCGTTCGGGAACAGGTCGGTGGGAGCCGCGGGGGGTGGCTTCGCCGTCGCAGCCCCCAATTCCCGCCGAGGAGCCCGGCGCGAGCCCCTCCCGCGTGGCTTTTCTCTAGGTGAGGGGCTGCGACACTTCAGTCTGCAGCGGCCATCTGTCTGACAGCGACAGGGTTGCCCCTTCCCGCAGTGCCCCCCGCCCCCACTGCACCAGTGCTGGGGGGGGGGGGTGCTGTCTGGAAAGCCCGGGAGCTCGACGAACTATAGGCACACAGTAGGCGCCTACGGAAGTGTCCAGTCTCTACAGTGTCTGAATTGCAGAAACGTGCTTTGCAAAAATCCTTGCGTCTTTTTTATATGACGAGTCTGGGGCAGGGAAACTGGGGGGATTTGACCTGCGCGCCTGGTTGAACTGGTATTAAGGCTTTAAAAAAATCGGGCTGCCTTACCTGTGGGGTGTGGGGCGAACCTGTCTGGCCTTTTCCGAAGCTGAATACCTCAAAACCTGCTCCCTGTTTTGGCTCACTTTGCAAAAGTGAGGGTTTGGCCGTGTGCCCAGGGGCCGAATCTCTCCACTCACTGCCTCCCCAGCCTCTCGTTTAGCAGTCGAGGTTTCCTTATTTTGGGGGGGGAGGAATTCAGGCATCTGACTTGCTCCTGAGAACTGTGGTCACTCCGTGACCAGGAATATGGCAGATTTTTCCCCCTGAGTGCGCTGATGTGAAGTGCCTACTGTGTGCCAGGCCGGTGGGACCCCAGAGGGTCTTTGGCTCCATTTGGGGGAAGATGGGGCTTTGCCTTGGCCTCTGGGGCCTTGTGGGGGTGAATGGTGTAACCTTTCTTGTGCCTCAGGAGCTGAGTGCGTGCCGGCCTGCCACCCCCAAAATGGGCTCTGCGAAGATGACAATGTTTGCAGGTAACGGAGAGGCTCCCCAGAGGCAGTTTGTAGGAGGTCAGGGCAGAATCCTGGGGCGTCATGGCGTCAGGCAGAGAAAGGGGGGGCCTGGCCACGGGGCTGCAGCAAACAGCGCCTCGCCCCCGCAGGAAACTGGTGGGGGGTAGTGAGGGGGAGCAGAGGCGAAGGGGGAAGAGAGGGTGGAGGGCGGAAGGGTGGGGGCGACAGCCACGGCTCCTGTCTGCTGTCTCAGAAGTGGGGTGTGGGGAGAGCCCCTCGCAGGGTGAGCTCACTGCAGGCCACTGCGGCAAAGTGTGGTGCCCCACCAGGCTCTTGGGGACCCCTCTGTGGGCCTCTGTTTAAGCTTCTCCATTCAGGTGTCTGGTATTTGCTTCCTGCGACCGGCTGGCCTGGTACTGTGCAAAGACAGACCCCCTCCCCCGCCCCCCAGAAGGGACTTTGGCTCTACAGAAAGCAGCCTGAGCCCCTTCTCCACCCCTGCCCCCCTTCACGTGTCCCCATCTTTCTCCTCACCCCCACCCCTCCCCCACCACAGGTGCCAGCCTGGCTGGCAGGGCCCCCTGTGTGACCAATGCGTGACCTTTCCTGGCTGTGTTAACGGACTCTGCGTGGAACCCTGGCAGTGCATTTGTGACGATGGCTGGAACGGGAACCTCTGTGACATAGGTTGGCATGTACCCTTGCCCGCCCCACCCCCACCCCCGCCCCGGGCCGCCACCCCCTCCCATCTGCCTCCCCTGCCGCCTCATTCCCACACACCCAGGGTCCTGCATGGTAATGATCTGTTGATGGGCTTCCCGCTGGTGCCCAGAACCTCGCAGGTAGGGACTTAGCTTTGCTCTCCTCGGGCACAGGATACCAGCACCCAGAGGGGAGGGGGCTGTCGGGGATCTGCCTGCTGAATAAAGCGTCAGAAAATAAGCACGTGCCACACAGAGCTCAGAGCAGGGAGACCTGGCCGACCTGGCCGGGTCACTGAAACTCAGAGAGGGTAAGGACTGGGGGGCGGGGGGTGTCACAGAGCTACGGCTCCCAGAAATTCACACACGAGGCTGTGAGCACTAGTAGGCGAACTAGTCACCCCCAGTGACCGGGGCGGGGGGTGATGGGTGCTGAGGGGTGAGGGAGCAGGGGCTGAGGCCCAGCCGGGAGGACGGGGCTGGTGCCTGGGGTGAGTCGTGGGGGGAGGCTGGGGGTCGCAAAAAGCTGAGAAGTGCAGATTGGTGTTATCTGGTGATTTCATTAATTGATGTAATCTCTGTCCTCCATTATTACCCTGAGCGATTGAGAGCTGGCTGCCATTGCGTTTTCAGGCTGCAGAATGTCCATTTGAGTCCATTCTCATTTGGCAGAAGGGGCCCCGAAGCCGGGGCGAACTAGAGCCCTCAAAAAAAAAAAAAAATTCCCGACAGAGCGGGGCTGCCACAGGGCCTCTGCCCCTTGGTCTTCGACGTTAGCAGAGCCGATGGGAGAGAGCGAGAGGGAAATCGAGTCTCGAGGATGTAAAAGGCGCTGGTCAGGGGCACATAAGGAGTTGTGGGGAGAAAAGCCACTAAAACCCCTCCTTCTAGCCCCAGACATGGGGTGCTTCTCATCTGTGGCCGCTTCTAATCCCCTCCCTTAAGGAAAATTCGAGAGCCTGTTGTGACGGCCTCTGCGCCTCATACCCACGGCGTCATGTCCTTCCTAGCTGAGCCCCCACCACACTGTCTCGGGTCCTCACGGCCCTCCCCCCCCGACAGTGCAGGGTTTTCCCCGCTTTGACCGGCAACTCTGATGCCCCTCAGTGCGGCACCCCCTGGGTTGCTTTGTGACCCAGAGGACCCCCAAAAGCTACCACGTGGGATCAGCCCAGAGCCCACCGTCTTTGGTGTCTGCTTCAGGATTGCCTCCCATGGAGTTTTCCAGACGAAATGTCCCCTCCTCGCTGGGGGGACAAAGCCTCTCAGCTTGGGACGCCTTGTCTGGAGGAAGTAGCCCTCGGGGTGATTGCCCTCTCTCCTTCTCCCCACCCCGTCTCTGAGGCTCTGAGGCTGTAGGCCACAGCTGCTGGCCCAGGCAGAGACCCCACCCCCCACCCCCCAAGCTCTCTCCTTGCCTTGGCTTAATCTACCCTCCTTCTGGGCAGAGGCCGGGGAGCGGGGAAGAGGCGGGTGCATCCTCTGGGCGTGAGGCTAGGTGCTGTGGGGGCGGGGGTGGTCGCCAAGTGTTTAGCTTAAAGATTCCCAGCGACGGCTGCTGGGAGCAGAGGACTGGGAGCCTACTGCTGAGGCCTCGCCTGCTAGAACATTCCCGTGATGATAAATCCTGTTTCCTACACCAAGCCGGGCTCACAGGGAGCACCTCGCGGGCTTGGCAGGGCCCACAGCCTTGCCCCGTGGCTGGATTGCACTCTTGCTTCCCCGAGGCTGCAAGTCTCTTTAAAAGACGGAACAAATCCGTACATGAGTGGCCTCAGCATCGGGGACCCCCACCCACCCACCCATTCGGCCTTAACTGGCTGCGTCTCTGGTTGGCCCCGGCTTTGCACTCGGCAGATGTAGGAACCCAAAGCTCCGAGGGCCCCAGAGACTGAGCAAGGGAGAGCCCCTCCTTTTGTACATGGGGAAAGTGAGGCACAGAGTGGGGAGGGGCTGGTCTCTGAGCCGGCTGAGGCCAGGCACAGAAAGGGCCCTCCCGGCCCTGCCTGCGGGCTGGGGTCTCCATCCGCGGAGGGCCCCTGGCCCAGGCCCCTTTGTTCAGCTGTCCCCTGCTTGCAGAGCCCCGCATAATGAAGTGTCATGACGAGGTGTAAAAAGGCGGTGGAAATGTAGCAGCGTTCGTGGAAACCCACACGGACAGAACACTCAGTACTTCTCATTTCGCTGCCTTCAAAAGATACAGCCTTTTTATCACGGGCCCCTTGGTTCAGATCCCCAGCGTAGAAAGAGCGACCACCAGGCGGTGGAGGCAGTGCCGGGGCTCATTCAGGTCCCCTGATTCCCGACAGGAGTCTTCACAGGTCCCCTTCCCCCGCCCGTGTGTGACGGAGGACTGTGAGGGGCAGCTGGTGTTTCTAACAGCTGGGCTGCACGACTGCCCTGACTGGCAGGGACCCCCCCCCCCAACAGGGGAGGTGGAAAACTCATCCTGGGGAAGGGGGGGGGTAGGCACTAGGGAGGAGCCTGGGCTTGGCACGCGCCCTCGTGGGGGAGGGAAGGGGTCCGCAGTCAAGGTCAGGCTCCTGGACTGAAGGGGTGAGCCGGCGCCAGGACAGGCGGTCAGCTTTCCTGGGTGGAGGATCGGTGGGTGGCCGTGACTTTCTGTCTCGGCGACCTAACACGGGGGCGCCCCCTCGGGCCCCTGAGCAGCTTGCTCACTGCAGAGTTTGGGGGGCTTGCTCACGCTCTTACTCGGGACTCCACTCGGTGACCGTTGGCGGTGAGTGCCCACGAACAGAGACATCTGGGCAGCTTGCTTGGGGTCCCCGCCTGCCCGGCCCGAGGGCTCTGCCCCCCGCCCAGAAGGCTCTCCTTCCAGCCCGTCCCCTCCCCCACCACCCTGGGGGAAGGCAGGGGTCACAAAGTCTGCTTCTCTCCCCCCCCACAGACGTCCGCGCTTGCGCCTCCACCCCCTGCCTCAACAATGGGACCTGCGTGAACCTGGACAGCGGCCTCTACGCGTGCTCCTGCGCCCCCGGGTTCTCCGGCAAGGACTGCCAGGAGAAGGCTGGGCCCTGTGTCATCAACGGGTAAATATCCTTCCCGAGCCTGTGCGATCCGATGAGTGCTGCTTTGATTCCCGCCTCACACCCCTGACGCCCTTTCGGCCTAGCCTGCTTGGACCCCTCACCTGACAAAGGGCCAAGTAAGTGCCCGTCCCTCAGGCCCCCGAAGGGCGGGGGGCGCGCCCCAGATCGGGCCGCTTCTGGGGGACTGTGAGAGCTCCCTATTTTCTGATGTGGCCCCCAAGGTGATTTCCTACTCCCTTGACGCTCCCGGGGTGTGTGTGTGTGTGTGTGTGTGTGTGAGTGAGGGCAGACGGGGCTGGTACCCAAGCTGGGAACGGCATCGTGTTCCAAGGGCCGCCTGGGAAACCAGACTTCCAGAAGGGGCGGGCTGTCTGTGGAGGCCCCTCACTGCATTTTAGGGTGTGATTCGGGGGAACTGGTGGGCTCTGCGGCCGGGTATTCGAGGATGCCTTGGGGGGGATCTGCTCGGCTGAGGGGGTGGAGCAGGTGGGCGGAGAGGACTCGCCATAAAGGTTGGGGGGGGGGGATCCAGCTCTTAGCGAGCCTCAGCGGGGCAGGGGCTCTGGGACTTTCTGGGCAGTGGGCACAGCAGTCAGAAAGGACGCTTGCTTTCCGGCAGCAAAGCACTTCCGGCCCTTATCTGTTGAGCTCGCCCAGCCCTGAGCCCGGGCTTAGGCGGGGGCGGGGGCGAGAATGCAGATGGAGCAGGGTCCTGGGCCCCGAGCTGGGGGCGGAGGAGATAGAAGCCACAGTCCACAGTGAGCTTATCTTGACGTGGCATTCCAGGGGGGGGTGGGGAGGACCCGGGAGCCGGCCAGGCCACAAACAGGCATTTTTGTAGCATCTAAATATCAGTGTTGGGGGGTGGGGGTCCACAGCCAGCGTCCACGTCTGCTTCTGAGCGGGAAGGGAGAATACAGAGCGAGACCTTTAAAATGTTTTGCTTTTTCTCTCCCACCGACTTGAACCAGACCGTCAAAATAGAGCCCGAGGTCCTTGAAGTTCCTTCAGAGCCCAGCTCCTAGGCGGCCCTCGCTCCCTGAAGCGGCAGTGCCGGTTTCTTGAGCTCAGAGCCCCTTTCTTCCCTGGGCTCTGGCATTTATCAGATGACAAAGGGTCTCTGCTCGTTTAAAAGCACTTACGTTAAATGCTCCCGCGCTCTGCTTTGAGCAAACAGTTTCGGTCAGCGAGCCGAGCCGCACTTGGGTGAATGGACCACTGTTAAACAGCGGGGCACAGACCCCCGCCAGGCGGCAGGGACAGCCTGGGGGGTTCTTTCGCTCTGAGTGTCCCTAAGGGTTTCCAGTACAACAGTCCGCAGGCTCTCTGTGCCAAGTAACGATGGGGGGGGGGGGCGTAACAATGGGAGGGAGGCGGCGAGGTGAGGGGAGAGGGGGAGCGAGGCCCCTGGGGATGGGGCGAAGGGAGGGGGCTCCCTGCAGCCCTGGGTCATCGCTAACTTTGCCTCTCTCAGCCTCAGTTTCCCCACCCGCCCACCAGTGACTCACCACCAGGCCTCTGGGCGGAGAGAGCACTGAAGAGGCAGGACAGGAGACGGGCGCCGGCTCAGGAGGCCAGGCGTGCGTGCGTGCCCGGCCCGGACAGCCCAGCGTGGACGGCACCGGGCGCCTCCCTGGGCACCGCCGTCCTAGCCCAGCCCCCCGAGGGCCCTTTACCGTGTCCCCCGTTGTGTCGCAGGTCCCCCTGCCAGCACGGAGGCACCTGCGTGGATGACGAGGGCCGGGCCTCCCGGGCCTCCTGCCTGTGCCCGCCTGGCTTCTCAGGCAATTTCTGCGAGATCGTGGCCAACAGCTGCACCCCCAACCCGTGCGAGAACGAGGGCATCTGCACCGACATCGGGGGCGACTTCCGTTGCCGCTGCCCCGCCGGCTTCATGGACAAGACCTGCAGCCGCCCCGTGGGCAACTGCGCCACCGCGCCGTGCCTCAACGGGGGCACCTGCCTGCAGCATGGCCAGGTGAGGTACGAGTGTGTGTGCAAGCCCGAGTTCGCGGGCCCCACCTGCGGCCGGAAGCGCGCGCCGGGCCCCCAGCAGGTCACCCGTCTGCCCAGCGGGTACGGGCTGACCTACCGCCTGACCCCCGGGGTGCACGAGCTGCCGGTGCCGCAGCCGGAGCACCGCGTCCTGAAAGTATCCATGAAGGAGCTCAACAAGAGCACCCCCCTCCTCTCCGAGGGCCAGGCCATCTGCTTCACCGTCCTGGGCGTGCTGACCAGCCTGGTGGTGCTGGGGACCGTGGGCATCGTCTTCCTCAACAAGTGCGAGGCCTGGGTGTCCAACCTGCGCTACAGCCACATGCTGCACAAGAAGAGGGACTTCCTCCTGCAGTGCAACAGTGGGGAAGACCTGGCCGTCAACATCATCTTCCCCGAGAAGATCGACATGACCACCTTCAGCAAGGAGGCGGGCGAAGACGACATCTAAGCGGCGTCCCCAGCGGCCCCTCCGTGTTCTCGGGGTCCCTCAGAGCTCACTATATGCGGTCTGTCCTCCTCGCTGTGCTGGAGTTCGCTATCCTCTGTGTCGAGTCTGGTGAACGCTATGCTTCCGTATATTACCTTTGTGTTGCCGTGTGACAAAAAAAAAAAAGAACCCTCTTTCTCTCTCTTAATGCATGATTGAAAATAATAACACGAGTTTCATCTTTAAACGAGTAAACAGAAATTAAGTATGTGATTCTAAACTCTAAACTTAACGTAAAATCAAAAAAGACCAAAAAAAAACAAGGCAACAGAGCCGGGGCTGGGTGCCGACGCCCCTCTCTCTCTCTTCCGGGAGGGGGCTCGGCCGCGGTCCTCGTGAAACCATTACGAGTGTCGCGCATGACCGCTCACTGTGACAAAGGCAAAAATCTCGTTCGTTCCTTAATGTTCACACGCCACATCCAACGCGCACTCACATCAAGTCCAGCAACCGCAACCCTTAGATCTTTCTGACTGATTTGAGATTTTGCGGAGTGCCGAGGCCGTGTGTCAGACAGAGAGAGAGAGAGAGAGAGAGCCCCGGCTTGGCTGCTGGGGGGGGAGGGATGGGGCCAGGGCCTTGTCCCAGCCCTGCCGCTAACTCGCTGTGTGATCCTTGGCGAGCCCCCGCCCCCAGCCCACCTTCTGCCCCTCTCGAGGGAGGGAGTGACCATCCAAATTCTCTCTGGCTCTAAAAGTCTGAATTAGGAACGAAGGGATACGAACCAAACCAGTTTCTGACCGAAGAAATTCGGGTCTGATGGAGACTCCGTTCCCATCCCAAGACCCACAAGTTTTGGCCTATCCTGGATGCAAACTTGATGCACTGAGATTGATCGCAACTGCCTTTCTCGAAGGGGGGGGAGGGGGGGAGGATGGGGAGGGGGCCTCCTGGCCCGCTTTCCCTCTGGAAACGATTGGCTCCCCCCTTTGAGTCACAGAGTGCAGTCTGGAGTTGCCACTTGGGCAGCCTCCCCCCCCCAGTCCTTGCACTTTACCTGCCTCCTACCCTGTAGATTAGATGGTCCCTTGAAATTTCAATGCACCTCAAACCGCAAGTGCCCCTGGCAAATCTGAGCGGCAACACCCGCCCTCACCAAGGTTTTCACAGAGTTTAGTGGAAATTGACGCTTGGGGGGCGTTTTTTCTAGTTCTGTGGCCAAAGGTACCAGACCTGGTCTACACAGCTATGGATTTAATTTGTGTTGCTGAGTTAATAACTCTCAGATCCCGAAAGACCTAGCCAGCTTCTGAATTATAAATTTGACTTTTTTTTTTAAAAGAGCATCTATTTTTTTTTTGCAAAAATAGAAAGAAATGGGACAGAGCTCTGTTTAGCTCTCCAGCTCGTAGGGTTGGGTAGCTAAACAGCCCTTGGGTACCAGTGAGAAATATTTTGCTTCTTAAATTATTTGGACAGGAAGCTATACTCTTAGCTTTATTGAGTATTACCTGCTGTATTCACCTAGCTCCAAGTATTTATTTCCAAGTCGTCATCACCATCTTCCTGGTCATTCTGATCACCCACACACGTACATGTGCGCCACCGTCATCACACGCCCATCCACATCACCGTTGGCCACCGGCCGCTGTCCCCAATCCCTCGTCATGGCCCCCGGCCCCCGAGCCCCTGCCACCCGCTCCCACCCCCAGCCTCCGATAGCCCCCGCCCCACTTCCTCCAGCGTCACGTCATCTGCTCATCACCTCATCCCATTCTGCGTTCGTTTTGAGAAATAAAAAACTAAAAAAGACAAAAAAAAAGAACCGTTAGCATGTGTGCCAGGCGGGTGTCCCGCACCCGCCTGGCCTCTCTCACGTGAGACCTTGACCGAGTCCGCTAACTGTTCTGATCCAGTTTCCCCCAAACACGAAATTCCGAGATTGGCCCAAGCGATCCAATTCTCTCGTTACGCTCTTTCCATCTCCACGCTGTTGAGGAACAGCCCGGCCCCGCCCCTCCCTGGGGTCAGGGGCAAGTGTCCCACTGTCCTCGGTCAGCGCCTCACCGATCCACCCACCCATCCCCCATGCATTTGATCAGGAAGCATTTCGGACACCTGCTGCGTGCAAGGCAGTGTTCGGGGGCCTGTGTGACACGCAGGATGAGGGGCAGTCTGGGGGGGGGCGCGGACACACCCGTGCCCCCGGCCAGCCCAGCAGTGCAGGTAAAACGCCGTGGGAGCAGAGGGGTCCTGAGCGGACGCCTCCCTTACAGCCTGACCATCTGAACTTCCCACGAGACAAACAGCCTATTACCCGCACACGACGAGGCCGCCCCACCCAAATTCCACCGCGCCCAGTGGCGCCCATCCCGCGAAATCAGAACAGTGTCCGCGACCTCGACACGGTCTTCACGTCACGCAGAAGTGGTCCATTCCATCCTCTATGGGGTAACCATATTCTGCTGAGAGTGTCAGAACCTCTGGCTGCCCAGCGCGCCTCGGCGTGTTTGGAGTAGTGTGTAGTTTACGTAACAAACGGAGAAGCTCAAAGCTAGCTGTCAGAGACATTATCACCAATTCGGTCCCAAAATGGAGAGAGGAGGCGGCGTCACGATCTGTAACCAAAAGAAATTTCAAAAATGTCAATGACGCTCTTTTTAGCTTTTCCGTTTACTATAACCCAGACAAGCAAAAAATTTTGTTTATTGAAAAATAAACAAAACCCAAGGGCTATTGGTGTGTTTCTTTGATTTGCTGTGCGCCCGGCTCCAGCCGTCCCCTGCCCGCCGCTGGCCTCAGCCCCCGGCAAGGGGGTCAGCGGCCCAGACTTCGGAGGGCAGTGCTCTGGCCCCATCCCGCTCTTCGCACGTGGCGAGGAGACTCACAGGCTGAGACGAGCCCATCCAGCCCCTTCCTGAGATACACTCTGGGTGCCCGGGGCATGGGAATTTCCTGCCCGGTCGGCCCCACCCCGAGGGCCTGCACAGGCCCCTCCCCTGCGTCTGTTTCGGATAGTGGCTGTTCGTGGGTGGTGTGGCCGGAGCTAGAGCCCCAGGGAGAGGGGGTGAGGGGTGGGGGCCCCATGCCTGAGCAGGGAGGGCCAGCTCTCCCGCTAGGCACCAGGTCCCGGCCCAGAACTCCCGGGGGTTTGAGAATGCCAGCCTGTTCTGGTCCTTCCAGAACTCAGGGAAGGTGGGACTCGCCCGGATGAGGGAGTAGAACAGATTTAGTTGGATGCTGAGGGGTCTTGGAGCTTGCAGACTTTGGCACGTCAGTCTAGGAGCCCTGTGTCTGCTCCTGACTTGGGCCCTTCGTGCAGGGGGAGGGACCTGCCTCTCTTCTAGGCCTGGCCTCGGGTCACAGGTTTGCACCCCCAGCTTGGTAGAGCCACCCGTTTGAGTCCCCATGTCGTGCCTGACCAGCCACCAGAGAGGGGCCGGCCAGAACCCTCGCCCTGGACACAGGAGGTCCGGATCCCTGCTGGCCCAGGAGGTGGCACTGGGGGGGGACCCTCCCCGCTGCCTTCCACTGCCTGCCCCTCCTCTGCCGGGCTGTCCTCCGCCAGGCCACTGCCTCTGCCCACCCAGCTGTCCAGCCAGGACCCGGGTGTCCCTGAGACACCTCCCTGCTCCACCCTGTGCTGCTCTGTCCTCAGCAGGTGTGTGGGGGTCCCGTCAAGGACGGAGACACACAAGAGGGAGGGACAAGGGGGTACAGCCTCAGAGATGATGCTGTTCCGCAAACTATAAGAAAATAAGAGGGAAAGGTTGAGGTAACACGTGTAGAAACTTGTAAGAAAGGGATGAATTTCCCAGGAAAATATTTATTAACCAAATGTGGCCAGCGGGAATACACGGATCCCCTGGGAGAAGACTCCCCTGGTGGGCCAGCTGTCTGTGACCCGACTCCAGGTCTAGAACATTCGATCCTTCGACCAAACAGGAGGCGCCCAGGCAGAGACAGGGTTCCGGGGCGATGGAAAAAGAGAAGAGGAAGACGTTTCAGGTCTTTTTCAAAGTCGGGAGAACCCCAGTGCTAAGACCTGCCAAAGGAAAGGAAAGGAAAGCCATTGTCCTCTCTCGCGAACAGAGAGACAAAAATCCTCAATAAAATAACAAATCAAAAACAGGCAAATGCTTTTTAAAAAAATCATGACCAAGTGGAGCATTTTCCGGGAAAGCAAATGTAATTTACTGTCAGTAAATGTATTCATAGACAGTGACCCCGGAGGGCCGGGGAGGCACGGAGCGATGGCGGGCCCGTGAGCCTCCCTGGGGTCAGCCAGGTGACCTGGCGGAGAAGCCCAGACAGAAGACCCTGGACGCATGGGCTGGGGTAGCAGAAGAGGGTGGCTGGACAAGGGAGTCCGGGCCGGGAACTGGGTGCTGCAGGGATGAGGAGTGGGGGGGCCCAAGGACGGGGAAGGCCCAGAAGCGGGGCAGGTGGGACGAGCATGGGCGACGTGCGTCAGGGGGATGGTGGCTGTGAGAGGTTCTTGCGCGGCGTCCCAAGGGCAGAGCCAGCTGAGGAAGATACCCCGTGAACTCCAAGTGCAAGGAGCCCCCAGAGCTGCTTGTGGGCAGCAGGTGGCTGGCCGCTTCCTGGAGGACCGTGAGGAGGGGGCGCAGCCGGACAGGGAGTGCAGAAGGGCGGGCCTTCAGCACAGAGCAGCCGGCCGGGCAGGGCCAGGTAGGAGCCGGGTTCCACCAGGAGCCGTGGGTCCGGGGGTGTCCGCTAAGCCCACTACAGATCCCGCCAAGCTCCTGATCAAAGGTCATGCCCTGTGGCCTTCTTGCCTGCAGCCCCGCTCTCCCCCTGCTGAAGAACAAAGCATTCACCCCGTATCCCGCCCAGGACCCTCAGTCTAGGTCACAGGAGGGAGGAGGTGAAGACCCAGCCACCCCAGTCGGTGGGCCGGGAACTCCCAGCTGATCTGGATCTGCCGAGGGCTCTGCTTTGAAGCGTGTTTGGCCCCGGACCCGATGTGGCTGTGCCGTGACCGTGGTGAAGACGCAAACGTAACTACGGACAAAGTGTCAGCCCAAACACTAGAGCAAAAGAAAAAACATATATATAATACCACTTCAAAGAAATCGATGCCAAAAGGAATTGGATAAAACACATTCCTAAGGTTTTTAAAAATCTAAGCAATCTAGGACAAAGTATATATATCCTTAACATCACATAGAATGTCTATCTTAAACAGCGGATAGTATCCATCCTACTGATTATTAAAGTCGAAGG